CCTTGCTGCGGGCGCCCCTGATATGGCTACAGGTGCGGCGGGTCGAACGAGAGGCTCTCAGGCCCGGTCCCCAGTCCCTGAACCCCAGATAACGAGGGGCAGCTGGCGCCGTCCATTGGCAGGTGACAGGCACTTTACCACAGCCCAACTTCCCGGATCACCAGCCCCAGCTAGGCTCCTGCCTGCCCCCACTCCGGGAAACTTCCCCACCACTGTCTGACCGGTCCCCTTGGGTGGCAGCGACTAATCTTGGTTCTCTTTGTATTAAAGCTGCTTAAGGCCGTACACTGAGTTGTGCATTTTCCTCTCCTGTTTTTCTTACAGTGTCGGATGTTTAGAGTACTTTACTGAGAGAGAGAACTTAGTCTCACTGGCACTGTTTCCACGTTGGTTCTGATATATGGCATAATTTTTGGGTGGGGACTTTTTAAATTATTTGCTATTTTAAGAAATTGAGCCAATTTCTTCAACAGCCAAGGACTTCTGAAAATTTACTGTTCTTGGTGACAGTTTTGCGATTTATCTTCCAGGTGCAAAGAATTTTAGACCAAGAAGCCATGGATAGGAGAAGTGTGGGTGAAACAGAAAATGGAGATGCTTTCCTTGACCTGAAGAAGCTGCCGTCCTCCAAATCCCCCCATCGCTATACAAAAGTAGGCTTCTGTTACTAATGAAATAGTGTTTCTTTATAGGTGGGAAGGTTAGTAACATTGTGTAGGAATTTTGTTGGTATTATCTAAAGTAGTAGTCTCATTCTGACTCACCGTATGGGCTTAAGCATTTATTAAATTTAGGAAAGGTTGCTGTGAACATTTTCCTACAAGTGTAAATGCCAAGAGTTTAAACCAGAATTTGCTACTAACTACTAAGTAGCTTTTAGGTGATGGGAAAGAATGTTGACTCAGATCCTGTATGAATTTGTGCATCAGAATATGTTAGCATACAAATTCTGTAACACCTGTATAAATGGTATGTGACCATTTACATGATGTAGCATGAGGATTCCAGCTCTGGGATGCCACACAAAATCAGTATTCTCTGTATTGGTGTTTCCCAGAGAGAAAAACTCCCCATAGGAATGTTCTTTGGTGTGCTTGGCAGGCTAGCTGGATTTTTTAATTGTGTATTTTATTTCCTAATACAAGTTGGATATGGACTCACAGAAATAAGGCCTCAATTTTATGTCTCTTACCTAAAAACTTACAATGTAAAACTGTTCATCTAGATACTTGCTTTTAACTGAGTGGAGATGGTGGAAGGAGAGGCATTCATCCTGCATTTAAATTTGGTCTTCCCAAATGTATGTTCTCTCAGACTGAGAGCTCTTGGGTAGTGCTTCACTACTTAAAATCCATTGCCTGGAATGTTGGTGAATTCTGACTTGAGAAAAGCTTATTAAATGAAGGGAAACTGAATTGAGCTGTTTATGAGATTATGTAATTTCAAGTCTCTCAGCACTTTTCAAATGAAACTGGTAGTCTATTGATAGAGTTCGTGAAGAGAGGCTTTTGAATCACTTTCACCAGCTGATAAGAGGGTAGCATTTCATCTTGTATATATTTTTGTTTTTATATGTAAGTCATTTTGGGGAAGATATTTTTAAGTCTGTCTTATGGTTGGGTTTCTGTTTGTTCACAGAAAAGATTAAGAAACTCAACATTAAGTACTTTTGGCAGTCCAACCTCAGAATTCTGAAATTTACCGTAAAGAACTGATTTACAAAAGCATTTTTTAGATTAATGACAGTGGAGCTTAGATTTAAGTCTTCTCTACTCAATTAGTTGGAAATAGGTTTACCTTCCATTCCATTCAGGAGGATTTATTTAATAGCAAGTTAGGATCACTTTTAAGCATTGTTTGGGTTGTGCTTTCATATATGTTTCTCTTTTTTTATAATTATTTTTATTTAACTTTATTTTTTTGCTTATTTAGAGTGATAGAGTAAGAGAGAGAGGGAAAGTGAGAAAGCAGGCTGCCAGGTCCAGGACTCGAACCGCAATCAGCCATGTGGTAGTCCAGTGCCCTTAACCACCACACCACCTGCTGGCCCCTCATATATGTTTCTTAACACTAGAAGTTTTATGTGGGGCTCAAAGATAACTTGAAACAATCTTGCATTCTGAGTGCTATGGTGATGTTCTCTTATTTCCACAACTGGAATAATATTTGAGCTTTCCTACTTCCTCATTTATATACCGAGATCAAACTGTTGGAATAAATAGCTTAGTAATATTTCTGCCACTTCAAGCTCATGGGCTACAAAGTCTAGAAGGAGTAGAGGAAAACTTTTTTTTTTCTTTTTAAATTATTTTTGTAGGTGGCATATTTTGTGGAAACTTTTGTGAAAGTGAGATGTTTACTTACAAGGTCAAAAAAACACATTGGTGGGATCAGCAGATGGCATAATGGTTATGTCGGGCGTGTGTGTGCGTGTATACCCATGATCCCAAGAGGAGAATGGAGGAGAAGACAGTGAGGCGTGGCCATGGAAGGGTGATTTCTCACTTTCTGCCTCTCTGTCTCTCTCTGGCGAGCACACACACCCTACAGCAAAAACTTCTCTTCAAAAAAAAAAAAAAATCACATTGGTCAGCTGAGAGGGCCCCTTTATCTTTGACCCTACTCTTTTTTTTCTTTTGGAGAGGTTTTTGCTATAGGGCGCATGCGCTCACCCAAAAGACAGAGACAGGGAGATAGAAAGCAAGAAATCACCCCCCAGGGGGGTTGGCCATGCTGCAATCCCTTTTCCTCCATTCTCCTCTCGGAATCTTGGGCACATAAGCACACGCGCCCGGCGTGAGTTTAAGCCGGGTCCGGAACTTGAACCACGGTCGACTACATGGGAGTCCAGCGACATAGCCATTATGCTAACTGCTGGTCCCAACCCTACTTTTATTTATTTTGTCTTTAAGAATTTTGTTGTAGGGTATGTGCACCCACAGGAAAGACTCAGAAAGAAAGTGAGAAATCCCCTGGGGGTGTGGTGAGGGTGAGGCTGGCCATGCAGCAGTTCCTCCTCCACTATCCTCCCAGGATTCGGGACACACATGTACATGCATCCGGTGTGATTTTCAAACCATCAGGTCCAGAATCCAGGTGCAGGATCCAAACTGCAAGTGGCCATATGGGAGTCTAGTACCTTGACATCATGGCACCCACTGGCCCTGACCCCTTTTAGTTTAACATTCAGTTGCTCTCTGGGATAAGGGGTAAATAGTCTTATGTTCAGAATTCAAAGGTTGATCGGTTGGTTTTCCATGACAGTAGAGGAGTGCAGATGTTTAGTCAGGTGCTTTTCATGGGTTAACATACCAGAGTTTCCCCATGTATTAAGACATATTTTAGGGATCAGCAGTTGGCATAATGGCTATGTCGCTGGACTCCCATGTAGTTGACTGCGGTTCGAGTCCCAGACCTCGCGGCTTAAGCTCACGCTGGGCGCGTGTGCATGCATGCCCAAGATCCTGAGAGGAGAATGGAGGATAAGGGATTGCGGTGTGGTTATCCCCCCAGGGGTGTGATTTCTCACTTTCTGTCTCTCTCTTTCTGGTGAGTGCACATGCCCTATAGCAAAAGACCTCGCAACCCCTAAACAAAAAACCCCCCAAAAAAAAAAAAAAAGGAAAATTTATGAGTACTAGCCGCATGCTGGCATGTGTGCCTGCATGCCCAAAATCTCGAGAGGAGAATGGAAGAGAAGGGATTGTGGCATGGCCATCCCCCACCCCCACCCCTGGCGGGGGTGTTTCTCATTTTCTGTCTCCTCCTCTTTGTCTCCAGTGGACACACAAACTTTAGGAAAAAAAATAATAATACAATTTTTTAGTTCAGTTCACCTCTCAAACATTAATGTGCCTAGGGATTACCTGTAGACCTTAGTACTGAGTATAAATCTTTTTTTTTTCCCTTCAAATTGCAGAGGGCATATGCTCATACGCTCTTTCCAGAGAGGGTGAGAGAGAAAGAAAAACCAACCTCTAATGGAATGTGGTCATGTGGCAGTCCTTGACTCTTCCTTTTTCCATCTTGTTGGAATTTTGAGTGTGTGTACACACATGCCTGGTGTGTTTTTCAGGCTGTTTGAGTTGATATTTGAACCAATTGGGATCTAGCTCCCAATGCCCAGCCCCTAATGCTGTGCTTTAGGGCCAGCCCAGAGTTGGCTTTTTGTTTATTTATATATATAATTTTTTTTTTGCCATAGCATGCCTGAACTTGTCATACAGAGGGAAAATGAAAAATCAATCCCCCTGGGTGGGGGGGTGATGGTCATGCCATAGTCCCTTCTCCTTTTGTGATTTTGGGCATGTACACATGTACCTGGCATGATTTTCAAGCTGCCAAGTTCAGGACTTGAACCATGGTTGGCCATGTGGGAATCCAGCACCTTAACCATTTGCTGGCTTCCCGAGTTGACTATTTAACAGCTCCCAGGTGGTCCACATGGTGCTGGTTCACTAATATTTTTAAAAATTATTTATTTACTTTTATTTATTCATTCATTTTATTTTGATTTGACCAGAGAGACACACACAGAGAGAAGGAAAGTGAGAAAGCAAGCTACCAGGTCTAGGACAAACCCTGGTCAGCCATGTGGGAGTGTCCAGCGCCTTAACCACCACGCCACCTGCTGGTCCCGACTAATAATACTATTTTTTTTTAGAATTATTTTATTGAACTTTTTCCTTCTTTCTTATTTATTTATTTTAATTTCACCAGAGAGGGACAGAGAGAGCCGCCGGGTCCAGGACTCGAATTGTGGTTGGCCATGTGAGAGACAGCACCCTTAACCACCATGCCATGTGCTGCCCCCCCCCCCCGTTCCGCCCCCCCCCCCCCACTGATAATACTTTTGAGTAGCAATGCTTTAGTTTTCCTTGGTGTACTTGAAATTTGGTGCTGGCGTTGTCCTACAACTCAGGTTCATAATTACCCCTCAGGGTTCAGACAGTACCCATTGTGCGTCCACAAATATTTGAGAAACTCGAAAGAGTCACTGGGTGCTTTGAAGCCTACTCTTAAGCCTCAGTGATGGTCAACTGGAATAGTTGTAAGTGGGTTTATCATATGCACTTCTTGATTCATAAACACAGGTCTGTTTTGCCAGGTCCTAAGATGAAGGCCTATTTTGTGGCAGTGTTTAAACCTGCCTTTAAAAAGTAAGGTTGGATTGTGTTGAAAGACTTCTGGAGGTTTTAAAGTGGGTTCTCACCTGAAACTCATCGATTAAAAGTAGTTTAGACAGTGATCCTTACCGTGTAGTCCCCAAACTGGAATTAGCATCATCTGGTAACTTGTTAGAAACGCCAAGTATTGGGCCCCTTCTCAGCAGTATTGAATCAGAAACTGAACGTAGGGCCCAGCCAGCTGTATTAACAAATTCCTAAAGGGATTCTGACTCGTTTGGGTTGAGGAAAGAGAGGGTGTAGTGCTTTTTAGTGGAAAAATTAGATAGACCCATTCAACTTTTGAATACTACATCCCAAACGCTTGTATATCAGGTTTTGAGATATAGCACTGACCACCAAGTTAGCGATGCCATCTTTCTTTTTTTTAATTTTATTTATCATTATTATCATTATTATTTAATTTGCTACAGAGTACATGCACTTACCTGAGAGAGAAAGTGAGAAAGCAAGCCACCACGTTTGGG